TGATTTCCTGAATCTGGCTTTGCATGTAAAGAATTGGTCCCTGCAAAATTATTTTGTAATATGTAGTTACTACAAATCATTATGTTGTACACCAACTTAGATAATGTTATATGTCAATTCTACCTCAATACAAGTGAAAAAATAATAAAAGCAATAGTAAAAAGAAGAACTAGTCACTAACAACTCAAGATGCTTAAGCCACTGGGATTCTTTTTTGAATAAGATATGTTCTTAATTTTAGCTACACGTGGTAAACCTACACATTGATTTTATGCTGGAATTATTCTAATAATTACCTAGGATTCTATTTAAATCCTGTTAGGACATCTTCCAAAAATATATAAATAAATCACAGTTTTAATGAGATGTATTCACATCATAAAAGTCACCTCTATGAAGTATGTAACTCAATGATTTTTAGCCTAGTCTCCAAGTTGGCAATCATCACCACAATTAGGGACATTTTCTTTACCCTCTAAGAAACCCCATCACCATTGGCAGTCACTTCTCATTTTGCCCACACTCCCCCACCCATACCTATGCAATCACTAATATACCTTCTACCTCAATGAATTTGCCTATTCTAGACATTTCATATAAGAAGAATCATAAAATATGTGATCTTTTGTGAACTGGCTTCTTTCACTTAACTTCAGGTTTTCAAGGATTTGTTTTATTTTTATTTTTACCTTTTGAGAGAGAGAGAGAAAGAGTGAGCAAGGGTGGGGACTGGTGAGAGAGGAAAAGAGAGATTCTTCAAGCAGACTCCCCCGCTGATATCACCACCTGAGCTGAAACCAAGAGTCAGACGCTTAACTGACTGAGCCACCCAGGCACCCGGTCCATTGCATGGATATACCACGTTTTGGGTGTTTTTTTTTTAATCATTGATTGACAAGCACTGTGTTATTTCCACTTTTTGGCTATTATGAATAATACTGCTATGAACATTCGCATACAAACTTTTGTGCAGATATAGATCTTCAATTCTTTTGGGTATTTGCCTAGGAATGCAACTGTTGATTCATATAATAATTCTATGTTGAACTTTCTGAGAAACTGCCAGACTGTTTTCCAAAGCATCTGTACCATTTCACATTCCCACCAACAGTGGGAACCAACAGGTTTCACCCAGAACCTATGAAGTTTCTAATTTCTCCACATCCTCAGCAACACTATTAGCTGTCTTTTTAATTTTAACCATCCTAGTGGATGTGAAGAGGTATCTCCTCATGGTTTTGACCTGCATTTTTCCAGTGGATGATGTTGAACAGATTTTTATGCACCTGCTGTCTATTGGGGCATCTACTTTGGAGACATGTCCATTCAAATATTTTTGTCCATTTTTCATTGGGGTATTTGTCTCCTCATTGGTGAGTTGTAAGATTTCCTTGTTTTTTTCCTGGTTACAAGTCCCTTACCAGATATGTAATTTGTAAATCTTTTCTTCCATTCAGTGGATTATCTTCACTTTCTTTCTGGTATCCTTTGCAGCACAAAAGCTTTTAATTCCACTGAAGTCTGACAGACCTACCTTTTCTTCCACTGCTTTTGGATCATGTTCAAGGAACCACTGTCTAATGTGAGGTCACTAAGATTCATGCTTATGTTTTCTTCTATGAGTTTTAGAGTTTTAGTTCTCACTTTTAAGTATTTGATTCCTTTGGAGTTAATTTTTGTACACAGTATGAGCTATGGGTTGAACACCATTCTTTCGCATACTTACATGCCATTTGCTAAAAAGTTCTTTCTTCATTGAATTGCCTTGGCATCCTTGTCAAGAATCTAATCATAAACATGAGAGCTCATTTCTGAACTCTCAGTTCTATTCCATTAGTCTGTATGTCTCTAGTACTTTATTTTTTCCTGCATTTATACAGCATAAAATATTTATACATATAGGAACATAAGAAGAAAATTGAGGGATATGTTAATCCCACTGCAGTAGACGAGCCATTGGTTCCAATTCTTCTCTGCCCTCTAGCAGTTCTACACATTCACACCCTTCTCATGGCCTTATCATGGTGGGGGAGTACACTGTGGGCTGGGGGCCCTTGATTCTGGGTGTGGCCATGTCATCTATCCTGACTTTTGGGATGTCAATGAATGTGACATAAGGAGATACTTAAAATAGGCTTGCACAGTTGGTCCTGCTCTCTTGAACACTTGCAATCACCATAGAAAGAACCCACCTTGGGTAGCCATTGGTTCCAAGAGAATGACGGATGCGTAGAATACACGTTACCCCACTCTGATCTGGAACCCAGCCAAATTTAGCCAGAGTCTAGTCAAAACTCAGACACTTGGGCAAGAAATACATGCTTATCAATGTTTACCACTGTGGTGTTTGTGGGTGGTTGTTTGCAGCAATAGCTAACTAATAACCTACCACTTAGAGATAATTGCTCCGATCAGTTTGGTCTTTTGATTAAAAACGAGATTATGAAAAAAAATCTATTTATATATGTATACTTGGTCTGTTGTTTTTACTTAGCATCTTTCCGTAGTAACCTGTATTATTAAAAGTTCTTGATAAACTCTATTATCTACATATTTCAACTTTTGAAAGTTATCTTTCTCCAACTGTCTCCATATTATTTTTCCTATGACAAGTAAAGGTATAATGAATTTCACTCTTTTTCTCTCATATAAATCTTGGTCTCCATTTCATATTTCCATGGAATGGATTCCTATTTATAGACACCTGTAGTAAACTTCTACAACTAGAGTCCAATGTGGGACCACTGAATCCTGAGTTCCTTCCTGTTCTTCTATTCATATTTTCACCTATACTATTTGGCTGAACTCAGATTGCTTTTCTTCTAAAAGAATACAGGCAAATTTGACTTTACTTAAAAAAAAAAAAAAAACCAACAATTTGGGGGATTCTTCCAGCATGTTCCACTATACTATCTTTTGACATTTACAGTTTATTCTAAAGAAGAAAACTGTTGCCAAGTAAACTACACAAAGCACTCATTTTTCTTCAGGCTACGATGGAAATAGGACATGGAAACAAAATGTGAGTGCATTTTTAAAGTTATTATTGATATAGTTGATAGAAGATCAGATATCCAAGAAGATGGTATCCAGGCTAGTAGCCAAATCTAATTCTATGTCCTTAACAGTGCCTGGTGCTGTGCACAGACACATTCAGTAATTACTTCTCGAGTAACTGAATATAAGAAATAGAACATGAAAGCAGACTCTCAGGCCAGAAATTCTGGCCCTTGCAACAATTAATACCTATTTTAGGGCTTCCATAGTGACAAGTACACTACAACTGACATTAGATGTGCGGGATGTCCTAGAGTATGTCAGAGGCTGATCTCTATTTCAACTCTTCAGGGTGCTTTTTAGCAAATAAATGGATGTCTCTCTGCCACTTCCCTCTTCTCCAGGGAAAAATCGCATTTTTTCAGGTCATCCAATAATGACTGACCAGTTTCATTTTGGCAACTGCTACAACAGGTACCTTAAGAACCCCACTCACTGTTCTTACACATTACCTACACTGAGCCTCCTGGAAGTCTCATTCAGGGTGGTTCCTCGTCTTGCAAGTAGAACTGATCTCACCTGGCAACTGCCTCCTTGCCTCCTGGCCCTTGCTCCCCCTTCCTCCTGCATTGGCTTCTCATTGGCCACTGTCACTCAGCTCCTTGGGCTAAGAGCGGGGGTCCCCTTACAAAGGCAATAACTGGTACCTGGCTCAGATACTTAATACAGTAAGTGCTATTCTTTTTTTTTTTTAAGATTTTATTTATTTATTTGACAGATGGAGATCACAAGTAGGCAGACAAGCAGGCAGAGAGAGAGGAGGAAGCAGGCTCCCTGCTGAGCAGAGAGCCCAATGCGGGGCTCCATCCCAGGACCCTGAGATCATGACGTGAGCCAAAAGCAGAGGCTTTAACCCACTGAGCCACCCAGGCACCCCCCCTTTTTTAAAGATTCTATTTATTTATTTGAGAGAGAGAAAGAGAAAGAAAGAATGTACACAGAGGGAGAGGGAGAAGCAGACTCCCTGCTGAGCTCACGGCCTATAAGAGGCTCCATCCCGGGACCAAGGGATCATGACCTGAGCAGAAGGCAGACGCTTAACCAACTGAGCCACCCCAGGCATCCTAATCAGTGCTATTCTTATCCATCCACACCCTAGGCCCCATTTTTTTTAAATTAGCTTTGCTAGTCAGTCACCTCAAAATTCCTAGACAGAAATGGAACAAAGCAAAGGAAAAACGCAACTCAGTTTACTTCAATTAGAGCAACCCGAGGACAGCGGAGGTATTCTTCTGCTGGAATCTGGGAGTTGACAGGAGGAACAAGGTCCTGGGCTGTGGCACTGACCCAGCTGCCACCGTCTGTCACAATCTGTATAGAATGAGCCGGGCTACACTGAGCTCCTAGATGGGCTAGCCAGCAGTTTATCACACTCAGAAACTCCCCCTGCCCCTGGCACACACAAGTATTGCAGTGCAGGGCCTGCTAGCGAAGAAGAAAAAGCCTAAGACATTCTCTTAGGTCTGAGAAGTGCTGCTATCGCGCCGCACACAGACAGAACTATTCTGCTTGTCCTCCCGTGTGCCCAGCGCTGTGTGGGTGACAGAGGCACAACGCGTACCTTGGCTGAATGAAGCCTATGAAGAACGCAGACACACAGTGCTCGAGACTACCCACAGAACACTTGACCTTGTCACCCATGAGTAAATGTTACTTTCAGCTCCTGAACAGAGAGCCAAACCTCTTGAAAGAGAATGAAAATGCAGACGAGACCGTTATCAGATAGTGGCTATCTGGACAAGAGAGATCTTTCACTTCATTCCTCCGGGGGTTGCTCTTGAGGCTCGGTCCATAACTGCTCTTACAAAGGCTCCTGGAAATGTGCTCAGAGAAGCTATGTTTACCCCCATGGCAAAGCAAACGGCCCGGGAGTGTGCAACCATTACAGCTGTGATGATGAAACAGTGAAGAAGAACCGCCTCTAAGTCAAAAAGTACACCCAGAGATAAGAAGATTCATTTTCAATGCCCTTGCAGCTGCTCCTGATGGCATGGCCGGCACACTTCTCACTGAGTGGGGATCCAAGGCTGATTCATCGCAAAGTGAGCAAATGCCCTTTTTTCTCTAAGATCGCCCTGTGCTCCACCTCAGTACGTGGGGAAGGGGGGAAGGAGGATAGGAAAAGGGGGAAATAATGATTTCTAAAAATATGGTGAATTTTTAAAGAAAAAGGGGAAACAAAACCCCTTGTAACTATTATTAGCAGGGGCAGAACTAATAATGGTGCTATAAAACGTCTATCAGGCAGCTCATATCAATTCTGGGAATGGCACTCTATTCTTGCGCCCTTATAACTCAGCTAAGTAACTGAGGAGATTAAGTCCGTGGCCAGGTGAGTCATATTAACAAGACACTTACGGTTTTTGTTGACCCTTATATGGGAGACTGGTTTTCCACTGCTGCAGACACTTTAGGGATTAAAAGGAAAATATAGACTCTGCCAAGATTTCTCAGAAAATACCTGAGGTTAGAAAACAGGGTATAGCAGTTAATGAAATATCTTTGTGAGGACATTTCAGAGTTAAGAAAGCTACACATTAAGGAACAACAGCAAAAAGGAGATGATTGCATTGTATCTAACTGAAGTCATTCTGCTTTTTGTCTCTCTTGGGGATTCGGGGATTTTTTTTTTTTCAAGATTGTTTGACTTGATACAAGATGTACAATAATTTGAAGTATCTAAAACAAAAATAGCTAAAATATCTCACTTGGTTTTGTTAATTATTTACCCAAAGCAACATAATTTTTTTACATTCTTATTTACACAGGAGAAATAGATTGAATGAAATTTTTTTTAAAAAAGGAAAATAAAAATCCTTCAATACCCCATGAGCCTAACATTCATGAACAAGTGAAAAGTGACCGCTTTTATAGCCATACTGATTAATGTATTCAATACTCAATTTAACGGCTTATCATGCCAAAAATTTCATTACTTGGTACAATTTTTATTTTGCATGAAAGGTTGTGTTCTCTTTTGTAGTTACTAAAAAATATATTAATGTGTGTAGCTTTTTGTTAAAAGTTTGCCTTTCAAAATGAAAGAAAGATTTGGAAATCAAATCACCTCATTTGTTTTCATTACATGAAATGCTACTGGGGGAAATTTTTAGGCAAGGTACCAAACGTATCTCTCTCTCTCTCTCTCTCTCTCTCTCTCTCTCTCACACACACACACACACACACACACACATCCCACCCCGCCCCTGAAATGGACCAGGCTTGTTAACATGCTCCCAGCCTCCTGTGCTCTGATCTATTTTTCCCCAGGCTAGGTTTTAGCCTACTGACTTGATAGAGTATTAATTTGCCTCTATTCTTTACAGGACCAGGCACTTTAAGCATCTGCCCTGTGCCTGATGTTGTGCTAGGGGCTGGGTCTGCAGCCAAACGCATGGACAGGATGGATCTAGTCCTGGCCCTCTGCTATTGAGCACGGTTGTTGGAAACAAGAGGATCACCAGAGGCAGGTATGGCCAGGAGTGGGGGAGCACGGATGCGGGATGGCAAATCATACCACATGGCATTAGCTGGGAGATATTTAACCACTGTTGGGAGATGAGCAGCAAAGTCCTTCTTCCTTCATTTTCTCAATGGAGCACCATTCCTACCTTGGCTAAAGATTGTTTATTAATGTATAGGGCAACAATTTGAACCCATGACTTATATTTTATGACTATTTCAAAAAATTGGCCAAAATCCAAGAATAAGAAGAAAAAAACTTCATGCATTATATGCAGTCCTTATCACTCATTTATATTTTTAGGAAGCCTGCACGGGTTTTCATTTGGGGGGTAATGCAATATACCTAAATGTTAAATGTGTCCTTTGCATTGTACACCTTGGGTTATTTATTTTTCATCTCTCAAGAGATGAGTTTTATTGCTGATTACACTGTACAGGGAAAAAAAGAGGAAGTAAAAAAGTAAACTCTTTACTTTTAAGAGCCTAACAGAGCATGAATCCTCTCTGTTGCTTTTCAATTTCTGTGCACTGAAGTTGAGTCTGGAATTAGATGTCACCACAAGTGACTCAAAAATGCTCTAAAAACAGGGTTGCATATACAACTTTGGTTATAAAACAAATGCCCCAGGCAAAAAAAAAAAAAAACAATAATAATAAGTTGAGAAGAAAAAAAGAGGGGAAAGTATTCTTAAGTCTGAACTTCTGTAGAATTTGACCAATTCTTAGGAACACTGGGGAAATCCATTGCCAATTGCCAAAACTTTACCCAACTTTCTACAAACATCTGTAGTGCAAGAGGTTGTGCTCCTGTTTTCTCCCAAATTTCCAATAGAACACTTATCAGAAGGCAGATTCTTAGAAGGCACTCGAGGAATTTTAGGTAAACTCAGTGAAATGTCACAGAAACAAGTAACCTATGATATCTCTAAGAAGACCGAGTTTGTACTTGTGATTATTGTAATTAAGTCCAAGTTTGCTTCATTCTGCTTAATTTGAATGTTATTTTAACAACTTGATAGCTTTCTGGTGGATTTTAATCGGTAGCCATAAGTAGTTGATCATATTGTCATTTTGATGTATATTTTTTTAAGTTAGAGAGGTAGCTTTATATTTCTACAGTGAAAGGTTGCCCAGCTGACATCTATTTAACAATATGCCTTTGGATTAAAGACATGGCCTGGAGAGATTTGGGTTGTTTTTCCAGCAGTGGTAATTGCTATGCCTGAGACCAGAAATAATAAGGGATCACGGACAAAGGCTGGAGGAGATTTCAGAAAACAGAACAGAGAATGAACAGGATTACGGAAAACCCGGGTCAACTGCCAAAGCTCCAGTAATACCCAGACTTGGGGGGAATTTAGCTGGCTCACAAAAAAATTGCCATTTTCACTAATATTTTGACTTCTATTTGAGTGTCTTGTGTTGTCTGTAGGACACCTAATTTTGTTGTGTCACCTTTTTGAATGGAAAATATCGCAATGAGATGAGAAAAAAAAGGGTATGGCTGTTTAATAGCCCCCCCAAAATAATAATAATCATCATCGGAAAAATTTTGAGTGATTGAATATAAAACGTAATTCCATTTTTCAGCAGCTACGATGTTGGAATATGTAATGAATTCTAGGGGAAGGTGCTTGGTTATGTAAAATATTCAATTATCTCCCCACTTAGACACTCAACAGTTTCATCTTTCAATTACTTAACTGCAAAGAACAAATACATGTTTGGTCATAACGTACTATTCACTTTGCCAGTCAGTACAGGTCGCTAGGGAATATCAATCTTGCATTTTTTTTTTCTGACCTAGAATTCCTCTTAATGACAATTAGTGCAAAGTTAGTGCATATATAACATTTCAGGAAATGCTGACGTTTCAAAGATGTGACCTTACCTTGCAGAGGAAACGGTCTTTATTGTTATTTGTTAAAGGTTTTTTTTTTTTTTAGTTTTATTTTTGTGTCTTTGCTTCTCAACAAATTACTAACGCTTCCCTGTAACTCCTTAAAATTCTTACTTGTTGAAAAATTTTTAAGTATTAAAATACCTTTTATTGTCCTTGTCATTTTTTAAAGTCCTGTTTCTACACAGTGTGAGATCAGAGTAAGAGAACATTACTTTTATCAAAAGTAGCACAATTCTGATTAGCAATTCTCTATTTGAAAAAGAAATTGAATGATTTGTATGACATTGCTGTTTGTTCTATATTGAGATATTTTACTAATTTCGTTACAAAGTTAATAGTGATAGTAGTAAGTAAAGTAATAAGTTGATTAAATAGTAAGCTCAAAAATAATAATTAAAAATTTCTTTATTCGGGCGCCTGGGTGGTTCAGTCCTTAAGCGTCTCCCTTCGGCTCATGTCATGATCCTGGGGTCCTGGGATGGAGCCCCGCATCAGGCTCCCTGCTCAGCAGGAAGCCTGCTTCTCCCTCTCCCACTCCCCCTGCTTGTGTTCCCTCTCTCGCTATGTCTCTGTCAAATAAATAAATAAAATATTTATTTAACAAAAAAAGAATTTCTTTTTTCTCCATTTAGCCAAAAGTCATCTTCTGTGGTTCTGCCACCATTACATTTGCAAATACCAGTCCTTTTAAATAAACTTTCTAAAAAATATTGTATTTTTACATAATCATTATACCCAATGTGGGACTCAAACTTATGACCCTGAGTCCAAGAGTCACATGCTCTTCCAACTGAACCAACTAAGTGTCCTTTTTAAAATAAATTTTTAAACTGAATTCTTGGAAGTCATTTAAATTAGTACAGAGCATAGGCTTTGCTGTTGGAAGATCCAAGATTACATCTAAATTCCATTATCTACTAGATGTTTGATCTTTGGAAAATTATTTGCGTTTTCAGACTCTTTTTCTTCATTGTCAATTGGCTAATAACCATGTGGGCCACCCATGGAATAAAAGGAAGCATGAGAGATGAAAGCAGTTCTTTGTAAAACCCAGGGTAGCACACAACACTGGGAAGCTGTTAAAATTCTTTGTTCCTTAAAATCTAGTCCATATGAAAAATGCCTTTCAGTATCTCCAGAGGAAACCCTCAAGATTTCTAATCGACAATTCCCAACAAGGCATCCACTCCCTTCTTTGACATCGTGTCCTACAGGATGCTGACATGTTAATGTAACACCCACACTTTCCAGGCTGCCATGTTGATTTATCACAACGTTACAACTCTAGAGTCTGTTTCATTGTCCAGTTGTTTCAAGTAGGTAGCAAGACGGTGTTTATTTTTTTTAGGCCTGTAACTGTGTTTTTAATTCCTTTTAGGGCCTGGCCCTATTTGGATTCATCAAAATATTTAACCTCTCCAAAGCTCAAAGTGTCATAAATTTATTCCAAGTTTTGTGATACATAGTGTCTCTTCCTCACATTAAAATTGTTTTAAAGTTTCTTGTCATGTTGCCTCATATTTAAATACTTGTTAATTAAAATTAGAATTTGCTATCTGATTAACAGTTCCCAGAATTTTTACTGTTCAAAGATCTGCTCTGGTCTCCTGCTCAGTACCCGAACTCACCCACTTAATTTCTGTTCTTTGGCTTTGCCCTTGCTGTGGATTCCACGAGGACTGCCTTTCCCCTTTGTGTGACAAGAGCTCTAGTTAGGGGACGCATGAGTGGCTCAGTCAGTTGAGGGATTGGTCAGCTTGTGATCTTGGGGTCATAAGATTGAGCCTTGCGTTGTTGGGCTCCGTGCTTAGCCCAAGTCCTCATGGAACTCTCTCTCCCTTTTTCTCTATCCCTCTCCCCTGTTCTCTCTTTTTCCCCCTAAAATACATAAATAAATCTTTAGGGGGAAAAATAAAAAGAACGCTAGTTAATCCTTCTGGAGTCAATTCAAAAATCTCTTGGTTCTTACTGTGTCCCATTCACACCTTTATTGCAACAGTGTTTAACTGGACTACAATTATTCATTTACATTTCATCCTGCCCTTCAGACTATGGATCCACTTTTTAAAGACAAAACCCAAGATTTGTTCATATTTGTATTTTTAGCACATAATAGATAGTTCATAATGTTAAATGGGAAAAGTTCTACATTTTACAGTAAAAGGTAGCTTCCAGTTTCTCTTAAAAATGGCATCTGGTGGTGATTTGGATCTTCATCCTTCTGTTTTCTGTAGGATGGGATTATCATGGCATCTGCATTACTGATTCTGTTGTGGGCTATGGTGATACTGAGAGCAGACTCACTTCCTGATAAAAAATGTAGGTACCACCTATTAAATTCAGAAGTGTTTCTTTAAAAAAAAAAAAATATATATATATATATATATATATATATATATATATATATAAAACAAAAAATGATAGCCTTATTTTTTTCTCTTAAAAAAATCCCTCAATTTGAAAACTATGTATGGATTGTTAAAAGAAGAATATTTATTCTTATCAGAATCCAAACTCTTTAAACACACTAGTACTTGAAGAAAACGAAGTTGGCTGGAATGCACATTTGATGACAATGGGGAATCATATTCGGAGTGTGGGCGCATGGGCTCTGTGGAATGGAGCTGGAGCCCATGTGTGGAATGGCTTCCCATGCAAGCAAGGGGTTGGTTACGAGTCCTCACAACCAAAGAATAAAAAACTTCCACTATGTTTTGGTTCAGAAACTTGTTAATCTATGGATTTGGTATAAGGACAGAGTCTAAAAAAAGAAAATTATCACATGGTCTGTATGTAGTGTTGTCTAAGAGAACTTTCTATGATAAGGACACTATTCTATATCCTCATTCTGTAATGGAGAAGACACTACACGTAAGCAACACAGAGTGCTTGAAATATGGCTCATGCAACTAAGGTAAGGAACATTTGGTTTAACTCACATTTAAATAACCATATACGGCCAGTGGCTACCATAATGGACAGTGTTTTATAGACAAAGCCCTACAAGCCCTATATGTGGCAGGTATGGATGCAGAGTTGTACAAGGCTATTCAAAATTAAAGGTCAATGGAAATATCCGACCAAGTAGTAAGTGAATAAAATTCAGTTTCCTAATAGTGTGTACAATATTGTCCTAGTTTTAGGAAGCAATTTAAAAAGTTGTAGCAACATATGCCAAGGACAGAAAATAATGAATGTATCACATATTAACACTATTCTCCGTTGCAGAATTAGAGGTAATTTTTCTTTTTCTTTTTGCTCACCTGTGCTTTCCAAAATTCCTACAATGATCAGGCATTGATTTTGTAATTTAAAGGAAAGTTTTTATTTTGAAAACAGTGGTTCAAAGAAAACACCCTCTTTTCTATTAAGGTCTAAGTAGTTTTGCTCATAAATTGTTTTGACTTTGAATCATAATGAGAAATAAATTAATTTTACTTCAAGAACCAGTGCAAATACAAATATTGAAGTACATTGATGTAGTAGAAAAAAGAAGTTTATGAAACATAGTCATTATATGTCATATACCCTGATATTTTCTATCCTATTTCCTTCCATGTCATTAAAGCAAATTCTAGCCACAAACCAGTAAGTTTTTCCAGCTGATTTATAGATAATGGCCCTCAGCTTGAAGACTATATTTACAAGAAATGATATATTAAAGTATTCATATTTCAGTTTAAAAAAAAAACCTGCATATGCTACAGGGAAATACCTGGCAAAGTTGGAAAGATAATGAATTAAAAGCAGTTTTAAGCAACTGTTTTTCCAAAATTATTTCCATCTTATACATTCTAATACTCATAAAATCCTATACTACACCCTGAAGGTCTTGGGAAATTTAAAAGTGCTACCTCCATACAATCGAGGATCACGTGGCTCCTTTTCACCAACAGCTTTACTTCTCCCACCTACCAATTTCACCATCAACGTTATTGGTCTAGCCCAAGTTCTTTTGCGCTGGGAACCAAATCCTGATCAAGAGCCAGAGAATGTGGAGCTAGGCTATCACGTGAGAATAAATGCTCCGCAAGAAGAAGATGTAAGTATTTATTCTGACAGTCGTCTTTATTCAGAGTCCATTTTAACACTGACTGCTTTTTCCCCAGCGAATGAACTTTTAAGTCACCCTCCTCCCCCCTCAAAAATATGGACTCAAGGGTTTTCCGTTAGACTCTCAGTAGAGTAGGGTGCCTGTTGAAATGACAGTGAACTATTGCCATGCGTGTTGCTAGGCATTCCACAGCAGCACAAACATTCTAACTTTGCCCCGATTCTTTCACCAAGAAAAGCAAGTGTAGTGAATGTGAAGGTAAAACAGATTTGATACTTGAAAACAGGCAAAGAGAAAAAGATAGGGAAGAGAGCAGTGGAGTAAAATGGGAAGTGGCTGGAGGAGACCTAGCCAGAGAAGCAAAGTTCAAATCCAGGGTCCACCACTTCCTGCCTTGGCAACCTTGGGCCGGTCACTACACATCTCAGAGACAGGGCTTTGCCGTACCCCACAGAAGGGATTATGTTAAAGCACCCAATACTTAGGACATGTGTAGTAAAATAAGATGAAGGAAGATGCAATTAGTATTAGCTTTTTTTTTTTTTTTAAGATTTTGTTTATTTGAGAGAGAGAGAGAGAGAGAGCAAGAGAGCGAAAGCACAATCAGGAGAGGAGGAGCAGAGGGAGAAGGTGAAGAGGCTCCCTACTGAGCAGGGAGTCTGACATGGGGCTCGATCCCAGGACCCTGAGATGATGACCTGAGCCAAAGGCAGAGGCTTAACCAACTAAGCCACCCAGGTGCCCTAGTATTAGCTGTTTTTGCTTCCAATATGGAATTCTAGAGAATTTTCCTTTAGAAAGTACCCTCTGGGGAAGAGACTGGGACTAGAGAGATGGCTGAGGTGAATGTGAGCCCTAATCATAGTATTTTGTTTGTTTTTATAGGAATGTGTTCATCTATCACTGCTAAATCATTATATATTATTGTACTGGGTTTTTTTTTAACACCCAAATGCTAGAATTGGGTCATTTATTTACTTGTGCATTTTTTAAAAATCAACTTTGTTGAGGTATGAATGGTGTATAAAAAGCTGTATGTATTTACCTAACCTGATGAGTTTGGGGATAAGCAGATATGTACCTGTGAAATCACGTGCTTAATTTTTTTTCTATCCGAACTAGTTCATTGCCTTTTATTTACGTGCCATTTAAAGAGTGGAAGAAAATGCCTATCAGATTAAAATAGCTCTTTTAATGCTCTTTCCCTTTTCTGTATCATGACTTGTGGGGTTTATTTTTAGTATGAAACCAGAAACACTGAAAGCAAACGCGTAACTGTTCTTCATCAAGGCTTTTCAGCCAGTGTGCAGACCATTCCGTGGGATGGCCACTCCCTCCTTGCAAGCAACTGGGTTTCTGCGGAGCTTAAAGCCCCACTGGGTAAGACGGGTGCCTAACAGCCTCGCATTGTATTCCTCCTTTGCAGATCAGGCAAAGCTGGAAAAGTAATTGGCTTTTCTTTTCCATAGTCAGTCGGCAGTTCCTCCTAAATCATAATCCACCCCATTCCATCTGGTGCGCCCCTGCACACAGCTTGCACGTCTCACTTCCCTGCTCCCACGTCACAGGGTCATCAGCAAAATCACGGCCAATGAGGTCTCTCATAATTGGGCTGTAAGACATTTTCCAACCATACCCAACACGATTCCTCTGCTTTTCTCAGACAGATTTCTGACGTGGACTCTGCCCCCGCACCCCCTCTTCTGGAGCAGCTTTTTCTTCCCTCAGAGACTTTGCTTTCTTGGATTCCCCTCTGCCTACTTTTCTGAATCCTTCCCATACCTCAAAGCCCAAATCAAATTGGACCTCCTTTATAAAGCCCTTTTATTTTTCATCCTATACACCGAAGAAGGCTCTTCCTCCTCAAAACCCATTCATGGGCTATGTTACTCACTTGGCACATATGCCTCTATCTTTCACAAATTAATAGCTTTATACACTGCCACCTCTAGATATAAGCGTTGGGGTGGGAGGGCAGCAGGGACGGTGTCTCATGCTTTACTGGGCCGGGAGAGCAAGCAATACAACCTTCCAGATGGAGCGATCCCCCCTGTGCTGTCTATGCCGCTCTGCACTCTAGGATGTGTCACAGCAAACTGAAGGAAGCTTCTGATGGTTCACAGAAGCCACAACACTGAACAACCCACCACGAAGAACGAGGATAGATAGCAGCCACTGTCTATACTGTCCTCTGTGGAAAACTGGGGTTTCTGATATGTAGAATCAGTGATACCTGTGATTAAACCCTTGGAAAAACCACACACACACATACACACACACACACACACACACACACATATGGGAAAGAGAGAAGGATCACTGTGTCCCAGGTCATGTGAGTGTTCCTAGTAGTAGCTGTCTTGGCCCGTCTGGCCCGCAGGTAATCGTCCAACCATTATCTTGTCACCTCACTAAATGCAATGGCTACACAACCCCTGAGTTGTATCGAGGATGGAGAGTGGCACTGGGAACATCTTTCTGTCACTCATGAGAACATGCTGCAAAAACCATGGAGCAGCCAATGCACAATGGCCTCGATTCAAGGTTCAGAGACTAATCTAAGGTAGACAGACACAAGGTCACAAATACAGACCTCTGTGTGGCCACCTCAGAATCACATGTCCTCAATTCTAATTATTCTCTGAGCATGCCAACATATGGGGACATGAATGAAAAATTAACTCTCCCTTGAATCAAACTTAATTCATACCAAATAATTCCTTAGAAGAGAGGTGGGAGACAAACAGATAACAGGAGACTCCAAACTATATTTGGGTGTGCAACAGCACACTGAGTACAAGGCATACACGTTAAGTCTATGTACCTTTGTCGTATTTGAATATACAGAAAAAACCTATCCGGCAGTACATGGTAATAACACAAAGTAGCTAGTGTCCCTTTTGTCCAACTTCTCTGCAGACAAGAGGAGCCTGTCTTCTTCTCTGCTTTGAACTACATTGGCTGTCAGTGATAAATATGATCACAGAATTGACTTAAACTAAGCTAAAAAGACCTCTTCTATCATTTGAGACTCAATCTAAGGGCTCCCACTTTGATGAGGTCCTCCCTGTCCCTCAGTGCAAAGTGTTTTTCCCCCTCCTATGAGCATCCACAAGGCCAGTTTCACCACATGTGTTCAGAAGAGAGCCCTAGTTAACATGGTGACAATGTGGTATGAAACAGAAACAAGGCTTTCCAGTCAAATCTTCACAAATTCTGGGTGAAGTGAACATAATGCGTTTGGTGAAAAATTGCATGATTCTTTAATATCTTTGCACAGTAAAGCTGACTTCAACAGACTAGTGTGCATAGACTCTCCAAGGGAATGTTTTGTTTTTGTTTTTTAAATATTTTAGGTATTTGAGACAGACAGAGATAGCAGCAGAGACAGCGAGAGAGCAAGAGCAGGGGTGGGGAGAGGGAGAAGCAGACTCCCCACTGAGCAGGGGGCCTGACGTGGGGTTCCATCCCAGGACCCTGGGATCATAACCTGAGCCAAAGACAGATGCTTAACCCACTGAGCCCCCCAGGTGCAGGAGGAAGTATTGTTATTTTTTCAGTGCTGCCAGCACCCACTTCCCTCGGAGCAGCAATCTCTGTTATTCAGGACCCATTTGGGTGCGACCTAATGAATCACATATTTCTAGGACGGAAAGCAGTGCTGGAGACCTTTCTCTGCCAACTCTCCTGTTTACAGCTGGAAAAGCTGAGGTCCGGGAGAGTGGGCTTCAAGGTGTCACAGCTCATTATAGAAAAATGTGGCATTAGGCATTCCTGGGGGGTTCAGTGGGTTAAGCCTCTGCCTTTGGCTCAGGTCATGATCTCAGGGTCCTGAGATCGAGCCAGCTTCTCCCTCTCTCTCTCTGCCTGCCTCTCTGCCTACTTGTGATCTCTGTCAAATAAATAAATAAATAAATAAATAAATAAATGAATGAATGAATGAATGAATGAATGAATGAAAAATGTGGCATTAGGATATCAAAGTTCCTGGGCCCCAAGCCCTGAATGACAACCTCTTGCACTGCTCTTAAAGTTTCATACAAATATGAAATCCCACATGCACACCTCCTTAGCCCAAAGTAGCCATAAAGTTTAATGCCAGAAACTCAGGCTTTGGAATCCTAGCTTCATCGCCTAGTAATCTGGCCCTTTGCCAGTAGGTTTCTATAAAACTTGTAGTAACAATTACTTTTTTTCATGGTAAGATGTTCCCAATCACTACAGTTTCAGAGAAAGGACAAAATTTAAGAGCTGTCGTGGCAATGTTTTATTCTTATTTTTGACCCTCTTATTGACTATCCAGGGTCTCCTGGAACCTCAGTTGTGAATTTAACGTGTACTACAAGGACCACATTAAATAACTCTAATCCGTTAAGGCCATACCAAGTTTCTCTTTACTGTACCTGGCTCGTTGGCAAGGATGCCCCCAAGGATACCCAATATTTCCTCTACTATAGGTGAGTACCTATTTTTACTTATGCAAATGCATTTTTTCCTCTCGTCTTAACCACTTATGAGTGTTGCTATTTAGGTATGGTTCCTCGACCGAAGAATGCCGGGAGTACAGGAAAGACACACTGAAGAGAAACATCGCATGCTGGTTTCCAAGGACTTTTATCAGAAGCAGAGGGAGTGACTTGCTGGCGGTGCATGCTAATGGCTCTAGCCAATGTGCCACAATCAAGCCTTTTGATCAGCTGTTTGCTCTGCATGCAATTGGTAAGGTAGACTCAACTCAGAGCTGAGATAACCAAATCCCAGCATTAGATGGCATTCTCAAGATCACCTAGTTTGACTAATTTTCCAATACTAAGTGACCTTCTGTCCCCTGACTGACAATCACAGGGACCAGCTTTCTCAACCTCAGCACCACCAATATTCCTGGTCGGGTAACTATCTCGCAGGAGCTGATCTGTGCCTTGCAGGATTTTGAGCAACATCCTTGGTCTCTACCTACTAGACCAGCATCCTCCCCCACAAGCTGTGACAACAAAATGTTTCCCAGTATTTCTAACTGTCCCATGGGGGACAGAATCCCTACCACGTGAGAATCACTGAACCAGACACGTGACTCACTGCTGGAGGGAGCAGCCCTTTCTTAGCTCTGACTCGATGTTTTTGCGCATTGGTCCTGTGATGGACTGGTACCACCTCCAAATAATTCTCATCTCCATCCCAAGATGGTCTTAGAGCTAGCCAAAGACAGCCAGCTTTCTTATCCTGAGATTTCTCTTCCCCAGGCTTCCCACTCCCAATTCCTTGTGCTTTCCTCTTAGGATCCCTTGCCATTCTGGTCTATCTCCTGTGGGTGATCTGAAAATGTCTTGTTCAACATGTGATTCTTAGATCTAACCATATTAAGGTTTCATTTGCTCTGTTCTCAAAATAGAAATAGCCTCCTTCATCCTAGATACTTATATTAATGAAACTTGTCAGAAGCCTTTCCCATCACATTCTTATTACTAATGCTCAAGATTTCAATCGTGGCATATTTACTGGCATGGGCTGTGGAGTCAGGCTGCCTGGGCTTGGATCCTGTCTCCCCTGCTGATTAGCTGAGGGACTATAGACAAGCTGGTCATTCCTCTGTACCTCAGTCTTCTCATTAGAAAGAAATGGGGAGAAATTAATACTTCCTGCAAGGTTTTTGTGAGAATTAAGTATGTTAATAACCATACAGTGCTTAGCACAGTGCCTGGTAATTATACATAATTATAAATATATAAAATATTATTTAAAGGGACAGGATTTATCTAAATCTTTATCAAATGAAATAGAACTTCTTTTAAAGAACCATCTCACTAAAGTGGTTATGCAATTCTATTCAATAGTCTATTTCTCAAATGACCTAAAAATGTCACTTTCCTGAAAACTGGTAATAAAAAATGCTGAGGAGGACCTAGGAAACAATATTAATATGAAAATGGACACAACCTGACACAGACCACAGGAATTCTTTTTCCTGTATGATTTTCATTTCTTTGAGATGAATTCCTCATATTACTAAAAGAAATACATTCTTGATTACATTTTTATTTGCTTAGGGAATGGCAGGCTCTGGAACCAACAGGTCCCATTCTTAGCTTGCCTCTATGATTCATTAATTGTGAGATCTAAGTTACATAACCTAATAGAAGAACACTTACTTAGAAATCATTTCCACCCACATCACTACAAGATAATCAAGTGGTAAGTCAGGGAAGAGAACTGTAGAGTTGTAAATTAAGACAAATGTGGTGCAATCCATTCTTTTTATGCAAGAGAAAGTTGAAACTTCCCACTCCATCCCCCAAACAAACTTGAAAGAAGGCAAACAAAACAAAATGAAACAAAACTGAAGCTCAGAATGAGGAAATTACTAGCCAGGGTCACACACCTGGCTCAGCAGAGGCAGGGCTCAGGGGAAAGCTCCAGAGCAGTTTCTCTCCAGGATGAGGTTGACCAGTCTGGTCCTGCAGGAGAAACAGGGATAGTGAGGTGGATCTTGCAGTGAGCTGAAGGGGAAAGGGACCCCACCATTCAATGGCATTTGGAATAGGAATCCTTTAAGATTCCAGTAGAAATCTCTTCAGCACTACAAAATAGGAGTCATCAGTGAGCCACTGGGGTCTTGGGGCTTGGAGATCAGTCAGCTAAATCCCAAGGGTAGGTACTTGAGAGGATTGTATCTTAGAAATGCCTTGAGGAGTATGAGTGGATTGAATTTATCAGCCCAGACCACTGGCCTTTCATTCTCTAACCTAGATCGAATTAATCCTCCCGTGAATGTCACAGCAGAGATTGAAGGAACCCATCTTTCTATTCAGTGGGAGAAACCCATTTCTGCCTTTCCAATTCACTGCTTTGAATATGAAGTGAAGATTTACAACGCAAGGAAAAATTATTTTCAGGTAATTCTTCAGATTATTCCAATATCTGATTATAGCATTCTCTTAGAAACATTTTAAAAATTCTATTCAGTGACAGCTGTGCTTATAACTTGGAACTAACAAGGGCAAAGGTAACTTGTATCTACACAAGTTTTGTAAAAATAAACCAAACTTTACTGACATTCTGTGTTGAAAGGACATACTTTGGTTTCAAAATAACACAAGGATCAGGTAACAACTCATGAGCACTACTATTGGTGCAAATATAAAATGTTGCAGCTGCTATGGAAAACAGTATGGCGGTTTCTCAAAAAATAAAAAATAGAATTATTGTGGGATCCAACAATTTCACTTCTTGGTATACATCCAAAACAACAGTAAGCAGCATCTCAAAGAGAAATTTGCACAACTATGTTCATAGCTGCATTATTCAAAGCAACCAAAAGGAGGAAACAACTCGAGTGTCCACTTACCAGTGATGAACAGATCAATAAAATGTGGTCTATCCGTACAATGCACTATTGTTCGACCTTAAAAAGGAAAGGGGATTCAGACACATACTACAACCTGGATGAACCTTGAGGACACCATGTTAAGTGAAATAAACCAGTCACAACAAGACAAATATTATAGGACCGCACTTACAGGAGATACCAAGGGTAGTCAAATGCAGAGAGACAGAAAGTAGAATGGTGGTTTCTAAGAGCTGGGAGGAGCGGGGTGTGGGGGCTGTTTTTCGTGAGTAGAGTTTCGGTATCAGAGGGTCCAAGAGTGCTGGAAATGGTTGCACAACAAGGTGAATGTACTCACTGCCAGAGTTAAGATGGTAAATATTATGTTTTCTGTCTTTCACTGCAACTGAAATATACTTGTTAGCACTAAGGAACAAAAAGTTGAAGGGACAAAGAACTGAGAAGCAAGCCAGAGTTGAGGAAGCATCAGCTCTGGGTCAAGCCTTATTATGCTAATTTATTCCATCCTCCCAGTAACTCCATTAAGTCACCCTCATTCCCATTACATAGGAAAGTGAGGCCAAGAGATTAAGCCCCTTTGCCCAAAGTCACTAAACTGGCAAAGCGTAGTGAAGTTAGGATTACTGCTGGCCTCTTACTGATAGTAGGCAAAGCAAATTCCACTCCATCCAATTTGATTCAGCCAATACTTAGAAATTGGTTTCTGTGTGGGAAGTATAAAGATAAGATAGTGTCTCTGCCATCAAGGGGCCTAGTTTAGCAGGCACAGGGGGTAGGCCAAGCTACCCCCTACTGAGGGCCAATTGGGCAAAATCAGAAAAGGGGAGTAGAAACATGCATGGTGAGCAGAGGAGACCCACTTCTGTAACCAGCACTTCCCAAAATACCGATGCTGAAAGACTGGCTTTCTTTTTTTAAAAAAAATTCTATTCTAATTTCTAATTTTTTTAATTAGTTTTATTTTTTTAAACATATATTTTTATCCCCAGGGGTACAGGTCTGTGAATCGCCAGGTTTACACATTTCACAGCACTCACCATAGCACATACCCTCCCCAATGTCCATAACCCCACCCCCCCTCCCAACCCCCCTCCCCCCATCAACCCTCAGTTTGTTTTATGAGATTAAGAGTCACTTATGGTTTGTCTCCCTCCCAATCCCATCTTGTTTCATTTACTCTTCTCCTACCCCCTTAACCCCCCATGTTGCATCTCCTCTCCCTCATATCAGGCAGATCATATGATAGTTGTCTTTCTCCGATTGACTTATTTCACTAAGCATGATACCCTCTAGTTTCATCCACGTCGTCGCAAATGGCAAGATTTCATTTCTTTTGATGGCTGCATAGTATTCCATTGTGTATATATACCACATCTTCTTTATCCATTCGTCTGTGATGGACATCTAGGTTCTTTCCATAGTTTGGCTATTGTAGACATTGCTGCTATAAACTTTCGGGTGCACGTGCCCCTTCGGATCACTACATTTGTATCTTTAGGGTAAATACCCAGCAGTGCAATTGCTGGGTCATAGGGTAGTTCTATTTTCAACATTTTGAGGAACCTCCAAGCTGTTTTCCAGAGTGGTTGCACCAGCTTGCATTCCCACCAACAGTGGAGGAGGGTTCCCCTTTCTCCACATCCTCGCCAGCATCTGTCATTTCCTGACTTGTTAATTTTAGCCATTCTGACTGGTGTGAGGTGGTATCTCATTGTGGTTTTGATTTGTATTTCCCTGATGCCGAGTGATATGGAGCACTTTTTCATGTGTCTGTTGGCCATCTGGATGTCTTCTTTGCAGAAATGTCTGTTCGTGTCTTCTGCCCATTTCTTGATTGGATTATTTGTTCTTTGGTGTTGAGTTTGCTAAGTTCTTTACAGATTTTGGACACTAGCCCTTTATCTGATATGTCATTTGCAAATATCTTCTCCCATTCTGTCAGTTGTCTTTTGGTTTTGTTAACTGTTTCCTTGGCTGTGCAAAAGCTTTTGATCTTGATAAAATCCCAATAGTTCATTTTTGCCCTTGCTTCCCTTGCCTTTGGCGATGTTCCTAGGAGGATGTTGCTGCAGCTGAGGTCGAAGAGGTTGCTGCCTGTGTTCTCCTCAAGGATTTTGATGGATTCCTTTCTCACATTGAGGTCCTTCATCCATTTTGAGTCTATTTTCATGTGTGGTGTAAGGAAATGATCCAATTTCATTTTTCTGCATGTGGCTGTCCAATTTTCCCAACACCATTTATTGAAGAGGCTGTCTTTTTTCCATTGGACATTCTTTCCTGCTTTGTCGAAGATTAGTTGACCATAGAGTTGAGGGTCTATTTCTGGGCTCTCTATTCTGTTCCATTGATCTATGTGTCTGTTTTTGTGCCAGTACCATGCTGTCTTGATGATGACAGCTTTGTAATAGAGCTTGAAGTCCGGGATTGTGATGCCACCAACTTTGGCTTTTTTTTTCAATATTCCTTTGGCTATTCGAGGTCTTTTCTGGTTCCATATAAATTTTAGGATTATTTGTTCAATTTCTTTGAAAAAAATGGATGGTACTTTGATAGGAATTGCATTAAATGTGTAGATTGCTTTAGGTAGCAATTTCACAATATTTATTCTTCCAATCCAGGAGCTTGGAACATTTTTCCATTTCTTTGTGTCTTCCTCAATTTCTTTCATGAGTACTTTATAGTTTTCTGAGTATAGATTCTTAGCCTCTTTGGTTAGGTTTATTCCTAGGTATCTTATAGTTTTGGGTGCAAGTGTAAATGGGATTGACTCCTTAATTTCTCTTTCCTCTGTCTTGTTGTTCGTGTAGAGAAATGCAACTGATTTCTGTGCATTGATTTTACATCCTGACACTTTACTGAATTCCTGTACAAGTTCAAGCAGTTTTGGAGTGGAGTCTTTTGGGTTTTCCACATATAGTATCATATCATCTGCGAAGAGTGATAGTTTGACTTCTTCTTTGCCGATATTGATGCCTTTAATTTCCTTTTGTTGTCTGATTGCTGAGGCTAGGACTTCTAGTACTATGTTGAATATCAGTGGTGATAATGGACATCCCTCTAATTTCTAATTTTTCATTAGACTTCTAACTCAATTTCCAATTGTTCTTTTGTAAAATACAGTAAAAAGGAAAGGCTAGAAAAATCAAATATACCCAGAGAGAAGCCCAGCAAGCATGGGCTTGGATGTTGGGGCCATGTCAAATCGCTACAACAGCTTTGAAGCTGTCCTCTCAATTTCTGTGTTTCCCTCACTGAGGCTCAGAAATAAATAGCTTCTGGCCCCCAGCAGTCTGCCAAGTGCTCTTGGAGTGGAGGGGGGTCTAGGCAGAAGGCGTAAGAGAGCATGGCTCCTTCAGCCAAGTGGCCATAACTGAGTCAGTCTGGACATAAAGCCAACCTTGGGATAATAAGTCTAGATCCTACACTGGGACTTTTCCCAGAGTGACTGAGATTTAAAAGGAAAGGAAAAAAAAAAAAGGGGTTTCTCCTTTTATTTATTTATTTATTTATTTATATATTTTTAAAGATTTTATTTATTTATTTGACAGAGATCACAAGCAGGCAGAGAGGCAGGCAGAGAGAGAGGAGAGAGGAGGAAGCAGGCTCCCTGCCAAGCAGAGAGCCCTATGTGGGGCTTGATCCCAGGACCCTAGGATCATGACCTGAGCCAAAGGCAGAGGCTTAACCCACTGAGCCACCCAGGCGCCCCTGGTTTCTCCTTTTAAATCCACTGCCAGAGGCACTGAAAGCTACTCTAGAATTCGATTCAGTACAGAACTGCGGCTGCATCTGCAAAATCAAAGAATAAAAGTGGTAGCAGCATGAAAGCTGGACGTGCTTGGAGGGGGCACATGGACACAGGCATGTGGGGTTAGTGGTTCTGGCAATGGGCCAAGCCAAAGATCACAAAAGACGTCAAGTAGTGGTCGTGGGGTGGGGGAGCAAGGGGGCACAACCAGAAGAATGCATGATGCAGGTGTCAGGGATACGTCTCTGGTGTGGGGCCTACAGGATTAGCTGAATGGTGTGGACACTGAGCAGTAGAGAGAAGAATGGAGAAAGGCTCATTTGTGAGAAAATAGCCTCGCTGTCACACTGGAGACGTTGGCCCAAATCTCCTGTGGCAAACTAGCATTTACTGAGCACCTATTATTATATTCAACTAACTAACATTGCTGTTTTTGCTCATCAAAGATGGGTTGAATATTCATAGTTTTCATAGGATTTGACCCAGTACGTTCTTAAACTTGGAATTACAAAGGTACTTCCATTTAGTTCAATAATTCATGCTTGGGTGTTGTTATTCCCATTTTATGGATGAGAAAATAGAGGCTCAGGTCAAGGAATTTGCCTTGCAGGTAGTTTGGAGTGAAGGGTTCAAACTCAGCCCTTCCTAGATTCAAGGACTCTGCTCTTTTCTCTTCTCTATCACGGTGCCCACCCGATGGCTTCAGCTTGAGACATTCCTACACATTGGAGAATGGCAAACAACTTCTTCTTCTTCTTTTTCTTTCTTTTTTTTTTTTTTTGTAAATGGCCAGATATTTTAGGCTTAGCAAGCTGTATGGTTTCTATCACCATTATTCAGCTCTACCGCTGGGGAACAGAGACAGCCCTAGGAAACATATGTAAACAAATAGGCACGGGCGTGTTCCAGTAAAGCTTTACCTGTGGATACTGAAATTTCAGTTTCATGTGTCATGAGATACTCTTTTGAGATTTTTCCATCATTGAGAGATACAGTAACCATCCATAGCTTATAGGCCCTACAAAAAGAGGCAGCAGGCCGGACGGGCCCACACGCTGTGGTTTGCTGATGCTTGCTGAAGAGCATGAAAATCAAGTGATACTGTCTAGTAATATGACTACAGAATATGGCGGGACAAGATGAGGGGGGATTATGCGTTCTACTGGCCACTCCAGTCTGTTCATCAGGAAACATCACTAGACCCACACATATCATCTAGATGTTACCATTGATTTTTTCTTTATTTTGGTTACAAGATTGCTTACCCCAAAGGGTAGCTGCCAACACATTCAAACTAAAACTTTATAGAATAAACGAATCAGTGCATGTCCTATTGATTTTCAATGGATCAAGTAACAGTGAGTCATGTCACTTAGGTACAACCTTCTATTCTGATAGCTGACATGACTTAAATTACACGTCCAGAGATTCTTATAACGCTCTTTTTTTCCCCATTTAGACAGAAAAAATGACAACGAATACATTCATCTCGATAACTGATGATATTTCTAAGTATTCCATTCAAGTGAGAGCAGCAGTGAGCTCTGTGTGCAGACAGACGGGGTTATGGAGTGAGTGGAGCCAAACAGTATACGTGGGTGAGTCTCTTGTTTATTTTAAAGTGAGCGACCTTCCTCATGGTTAACACCGATAATCCTGGAAAGTGTACACATTCGTTCATAGACCCAAATGCCTCATCTTCTGTCAGCCTACTGCCCTTTTGACCCCTGCCATGCTCACTCAGCTTCAGACAGCGATCCCATAGCCTGGAGGTGTGGCCTTGCCCCTTCAAGACAATAAATTCACAGCCTGTTTGTCATTTCCTGGATGTACTGGGTTTCCATAGGTGTTTCATGGCAAAGTAGACAGTCAAAAAGTGGCTAACCTAACTCTTGTGTGTGCTGCCACCAGGCAGCCTGAGGACGTGGATGTACGTGGTTCAGTGTTGCATGAGATCGATGAGAACACAGAACAGTGGAGGGAACACGGGAGTTGTACCTAGATGGCAGGAACGTAACACCCAGCTGTGTTATGTGATGACTGCATGCCCTTGGAAAAAGTCCCTTCTGACTTTGCTTGGGTTCCCTGGACAAAACACATAATGTCCACCTCACTGCCTCACAGGGTACCATGAAATAAAAAACAATGATCATAGGTGACATTTATGGATGGCTGTTTGCCAAACACTGCTCTATGCTTTACGCCCATTACCTCCGTGAATCTTACCAACAAACCTATTTTGCAGATGAGAAAGTAGCTTTGCAAGTTTGGGCAATTTGCTTAACTCTGTATGCCCAGTGAGTGGTAGACGTGAAGAGGCAGAGCTCCCTGTGGAAGGCCACGGGGTGACAGGACGATGGCAAGCCGCAAAGTGCTGAACAAATTAAACAATGATGAGATCCTGGGAGCTAACTGTGTGCTTATGGCTGGTCAAGCATGTGAATGTTATTTCTCACTCATCCTATGGGGTATTCATTGATCATTTGAAGAGTGTACTTAAGGAGAGCTTTCTTTCAGGCCCGTTGTAAAAGTTTCCACTTAAGTCATTCACTTAGGCTAATGGGTGGGTCTTCAGGAAATTCGTGGGCAGTGACCCATTAGATTATGTGGATGTGAGTCAGATTAGACACGTATCAGGTAGATTTCCAAAGAAGGTTGGGTGAGGTGAGAAAAGGCCTAAGAACTGCAGAGGGACTATGAGTCTGCAGGGGGGCTGGCCATGCAGAGTTGCAGAGTTTGCAAAGGGGAAGGGCATCCCCTAGAGTTGTGTGACACACAATCAGCCCACCCTTAAGGGATGGCCCCCATATTCCCCCACTGGAACTCAGAGGAGCAGCACAAGTCTTCCTGGGAAGAGGGACAAGAAAGAAGGATAAAAGGAACAAAGATCGGGCAAAGTGCACCTACTTCCCAGCTGTGCCAAGGTCAGTCTTCCCAGCCTCTTCTCCTCCCCAGGCTGATGCCCCCACCTGGCTCCACAGACCCAGCACACACACAACCTCCCTCCACACTGCTTCTTCTGCACAAAGTCGATTCACTTCGCTTGCCAAGAGCAAAACAGAACATTAATCAGTCCCAGGAAATTTTTAACAAGATTATTCTTCTTATCAAATGCCTGTGATAGAAGCTTAATTTTCATTACTTATATTTGGTCACTTTTTTTTAAGTCTACGTTATTCTCCAAGGGCACAAAACTCATTGGCTCTGAATTATTGATATTTCTGAATGTCTCCCGAACATTACTGCACATAGAGCTTCAGAGATTTTTTTTTTTCCATGCTGTCCAAGGACTTCAAACCAACACAGTAGAAACCAAGATGAGAACCCTAGCTAAGACGCCGGTTCTGCTTTCTGAGTGTTTAAATCATGAAGTTCAGGTCAGTGTTGACCATAGACAGTTTAGAACTTACAGAGCGAAAGCGACAGATCAGGAAATCTGGGTTTCAGCCATGACTCTGTCAATGTCTAGTTCTCTGACCCAAGTGTTTGATGGCAGAAGATAACACCTCACCAGCCAAGGGATCAGGGCTGGCTTCATGTGCTGTGCTGAGAGGGATTCTCAGGCTACATGTAGGTCTTAGGAGTGCCGATCTCTTGTTACCCTGGCAGGGTACAGAATGGTGATGATCGTGCCTGGGTTTGCCACCCCTGACTAGTGACCTGTGCCTAACCTCGCTGGGTCCCAGTTCCCAGTTCCTTCACTTCAAAATGTGAAAGCTGCACCCCAAGATTCTTCTGCACTCCCTCAGCCCACCACAGAAGTGCTGAGAGTGAAATTGTGATCCATAATGAGAATTTATTTTAAGCTTGTTTTTAATTTATTATTCACTCTCCACTTTAGAGCTTTCCTCCCGTTATTATTTCCCAAATAACAGCTTCCTAGTTCAGAACTAGCCTCATTATAATTCCCCCCCAGGTATACCTCACTGCCATTATCTATGGCAAATCCCATTTCATTTACTGCCACCCTTTTCATAAGATGAGCTGATTAATATTACCACTCACCTTACAAATCCATCGTTTCTGGAATTTACTCCCCTGCTCAGTTTAGGATCATTAGTGAATTTAATCAATGCAGACTTTCCATTTTCATCAAGATGATTAATAAACATAATAGGAAGTCCGGGCTCCTCTGGGACATGTTGCGTGGCTCTTCTTTACCCCTTCAGGATGCAACCATAATTCCGCTCAGCTTGCAGTCTATCAGGCAATTTTGTTGCTACATTCATTTCCTTCAGACACCCTTCCTCCTCTCCCACCTTGTATGTATGGCGCCCTGGAGCCCTCCCCTTCCACTTCCACTCTGCAGCCCCACGCAAATACCACCTCGTTCTCACGTATTATTAAGTCCATCTCCTTTCATATAAGCAAATGGAGACCCAGAGATATTAAATAAATCAGTAGTTCTCAAACAGCCCAGAAGTGGCTATTAATAGCTAATTTTCTCAGATACATGACATCCATCGGCAAAGTGGAATAGATTTGCTTCACTCATTAACCCGTGATAGCCCAAGGTTATTCGATAATGAGACCCAGGAAGGCTAAGTTTTGACAGCGAGAGGATCCAGCAGGCAAGTGTCCCGAACCTTGGCCCTAGATGGGCCCTCCTGTGCTAGGATTTCCAACACATAAAACATGTTTGTTTTCAAATGGAAATAGCAGTTGGTTTCATTTTATCACCACGGGTTATCAACTGCCCCTCCTCGACTGGCCTCTGCGTCTTATCTTAAGAGCTAACTTCCTAATTTTCACACGTCTTTCTCCTTTTTAAATCTTTCTTAACTTCCGGATTCTTCTGTTCCCCTGTTATCTCTGCTGTCTCCTGTTTACCTAAACCTCTGCTCTCCTGACCCTGGTCCTATGAAGCCTTCCATTTGCTTCAGTCCCTTTTCCCTCTCCTTCTCCCCACTCCCTGAACCTCACACACCATGCATGAGAAAAGCAGTTATGAAAATGAAATGCCCTACAGCTGTACCCTTCCCTTTGGAAAAGAGAGTGTTGGTTATGTGAGTCTACCCTGCACGCCTTTCCTGCTTTGTCACCGGTCAGGCTCAGTCTTTCTGAGACCTTATCAGAGACGGGTCTTAACCGCAATCACAGGCATGGCCCTCCCAACCAGCAATTGGGTTTGCCCCCGACTTCACTGAAGGCCCTATCTGAAGGCCACCAGCTATGTCACGACAATACCAGGTACAAAAATAAAAATACCTTTTAATTTAAAGATTTCTTTAGGCTTGAGATAGGTAGCATTTGTACCTCCAGGAGTAGAGCAAAGTTTTCCCGCCATCCTCTGCTGCCTTTGGAGGCATCTCTTTCCACAAGACACGTTAGAGGAAATCTGGGCCTTAGCTCTCCCGTCACAGTTTGGGGCAGCAGTGGGGGGGACTGGTTCTTAGAGCCACGTGACCCAGCCTAGAGCCTGTAAGGACTTAAGGAAAGTAGGTGGAGGCAGAATATCAGGGATGTGTTTAAACATCTGGGTTGAGATGAAAGTAAGGTCCCCACAAGCACCTCTTGTGGACTTTAAGAGGCTGGGAATATGTGAGGAAACACATGCATTGGCCCGGGTCACCTGGACTCAGAAGCCAAGGGCAGGTCCTGCAGCCTCACCCTCAGCCCTGGACACCTCCTGTGCTCTCTCCTCCTTTATTTTCTGCTTTGTCACCACATACTTTCTTTTTAAAGTCTCTCACTGCGGTAGAACAGAGAGAAAACGAGCAAAGGAAAACAGGAAGGGCAAACATGGCAGAGGTCCCAAATTCAGTTTCCCCAGGTCTTCAAAAAGAATTCTGCACATGAAAAGGCTTTCATGAGGGAGGAGATGAACGCTGACAAAACTGGTCAAAGAGGTGACCTAATAACCTGAGAAGCCCACTTGGGCTTGCCTGAGGCTGAGGGAACTCGTGGGGATTCTGGGTTTTCTTTGCAAATGGGGGATTTCAGGTTGGTGAATATGGTAGTCAGGTCAGTCAACCGTGTCCTTAGGTCCAGGTTCTTGTGGTTTCAGAGGCTGGGTAGTGCCTGGCAGGCCCACTGTTTGCTCTCAGCAGGGGGGGCGGGAGGGGGTAGAGGGGTGGGGGGTTGGCGGCAGGGCTTGGGGGAGGGGACCATCTCACTCTTAGGTGGTCCACATAGCCTGACGGAGGGAAATGGACTAGCGGACTAGCTAGAGGGAAGATGCCAGACTCAGTCTCCAACTGTCAGGAGCAGGGTTTTTTCTGGCATGGCCGCCTCTAGTGGGGTCCACGCTGGCCTTCCACACATGATTTCTACCCCACGAAGGGCCTTGCGGGTGGGACAACAGCTCAGAGGAAGAAAGGACTACTGTTGAGCCGGGCACCATGCTAGGCACATTCATCGATGCGATCTTGTGTATCTTCACAAACAAAAAATTTCCTTAATTACGTCGATTTATAGATTATGTGAAAAAAAGATGCAGAGAAGTTAAGGAAATGCCTGAAGGGACAAAGCAAGAAAGTGGTAAACCTGGGTCTGGAACCAAGCCAAAGGACTGGTTCCTCACCCTGTTCTCTCCGTCATGCTTTCACATCCCAGAGCTCATGGTGCCAGCCAGGGAGACAAAGGCAGGAAGATGGGC